CCCCAAAACCCCAAAACCCCAAAACCCCAATTTTTACTAAATAATCATGTTTAGAATGGGAATTCAAACTCATCGACTCTTCTGCTGGAGAGCTGAATAGCTCTGTCAAGCCCCTTAGTCTCGATAATCAGTGGAAATTTCTAATTTTATCTGAATTTATACTTCCAAGGATCCCTGATAGCATCATGAAGTAGCTATTCTCAACCCAAATCATGTTAGAAGTTCGAGTTTTTGAATTATTTTATTAGAAGGTGAATTAATAAATTTTAGGAATATTCCTGCACTTTTTATTACCACTTGAAGTCTCATAATCCTTGATCTTGCTCAGTGCCTTTGATTTAAATAGAGCTTTGGACTTTTTAGCTTTTCTTGTCTTACCCTTCTATAGCAGTTTGGTTAGAATTCCTGTCGGATTTTTCTCAGATATGAAGTTATAATTTTTGCTAAATTTGGATAACTTTCGTAAAAATGAAGATAATAAATCCTAGTCTAAAAGCTTAATCTCCACGTTTGGTGTTAATTTTGATCAATTTGCTGCAATAGTATTGACCTCTCAGCTAATTGGATGGAGCATGAACAAATCTGATCAAAATAGGAATTAAAATATTTTGTTAAGAATTTACGTTTTGGGAATATTCCAGAGAGTCACAATTAGTGTTAAGTACAATGATAATCTTTTTCTTCCTTGAGCCATCAGTATTTCTTCGCCTGAATTGGGCATTCTTCTTATGGAAACGTCCCAGTGATGTATTTTTACTACTCCTAACTGATAGGGAACCTCTCTTGCATCTGTATCTTGATTCTGAACCGTAAAAGTTGGAGGCAGTTGAATTATTTGTGCTTAAGACACTTTGCATCCCATATATTTCCTAAATTCATAAAAGTTAGGAAGGGTTTATGTTTGATTTATTAAACACAAAATGTTAAAAATGGGGAAAGAATGTCGCTCCATAAGAATCAAGATAACGCGATCAAAATATAGAGAAGCTGGCTTACCTCATCAATCTTCATGTTAGTCTGCTTCTTTGAGTTGAGTGGCTCTAAATAGATAAGAACTCCTGAATTGTTGGCAACATTTAGGAATACTTACTATTACTATTAGAAAAATCTGAATCATAACTGAGTGTTTCCACAATATCTTCATCCGTATAAAAAGAAGTACCTTGGATGATTAGCTGATTTGAGAGTTTAACATCCTTGGTTTCGTCACCCCACCCACTAAGACCTGCTTCATTATTTCTGAACTTTGGCTGGGTTTTCTTTGAATTTTTACGGATTAAACACTTTCTCCTTTTTGGGTGAGAAGAGGAACATCTTTTAGCCTTTTTTATCACAGCTGGTCCTAAAATGTCTCAAATAACAAATTTTACCTGAAAAAGTATGCGATTTTTGAGTTTCTTGAACTGACTGTCAATACGGATCAAAATCTTGAGCAAGATTCTCTACCTCAGTGTCCTTGTTGTATATGTAATCAACTACTTTCAACTTAAATTCTTGATCACCATTTAATGTTGGCTTTGTCTCAGTCTGTGGATAATTTTCAATGATATCGTTAATAAATCCTTCATTCTTCCTAATTCTTTTAAGTAGAACTCTTTTGATCTTCTTTCAGTCCAATTGAGGGGTATGTAATTTACTCATAGTATCAACAATGAAAAATTTGTTATTTCAAATCAATTTATATCAACAACTTGGGGTTTTGGGGTTTTGGGGTTTTGGGGAGAT